ACAACATGAGGGACTGTATTAAGGGGTCACGGCATTAGGAAGGTTGAGAACCACTGACCTAAGGTTTGGAAGCCAAACAGCTTAGGGAGCTATTTAGATTTAGCTTGGAGAAGAGAAGGTTTAGGGGGGATGTGTTAATATCTAAATATTGGAAAGGGTGTCACATTGAAGAGGAGGCAAGCTTATTTTCTGCTTTTTCAAAGACTTGGACACAATGGAGCAATGGAATCAAATAGCAGGAAAAGAGATCCCACCCAACGATTAGGAAAGACTTCCTGATGTTTAGTGCTGTTCTCTTTCTCTGGAAGTTTTCAAGCAGAGGCTGGATGGCCGTCTATCAAGAGTGCTTTGATTGTGTCTTACTACATGGCAGAATGGGGTTGGATTGGATGGCCCTTGATGTCTCTTCCAACCCTATGATTCCATTATTATATTTAACCAATCACAGCTTAGTTTGAGGACCCCTGATCTAAGTCATTAATAAAGATTTTGAACAGGACCGGGCCCAGGATGGAACCCTGCTGATGGCACTCTGCTCGTCACTTCTTTCCAGGATGAAGAGGAAGCATTGGGGAGAATCACCCTCTGGGTTGGTCCATTTAGCCAATTCCAGATCCACCTCACCGTAGTTTTGCCTAGCCCACATTGGACTAGTTTCCTTGCCAGAAGGTCATGGGGGACCTTGTCGAAGGCCTTACTGAAATCCAGGTACGCTACATCCACGGCATTCCCCCCATCTAACCAGCTTGTAACTCTATCGAAAAAAGAAATCACATTAGTCTGGCATGACTTGTTTTTTTGATAAATCCATGTTGACTATTAGCAATGACCGCATTTGTTTCTAAGTGTTTGCAGTCCACTTTCTTAACGGTCTTTTCCAGAATCTTGCCTGGTATTGACGTGAGGCTGACCGGACGGTAGTTGTTTGGGTCATCCTTTTTTCCCTTCTTGAAGATTGGGACCACATTGGCCCTCCTCCAATCTGCTGGAACTTCTCCTGTTCTCCAAGAACTCTCAAAGATGGTTGCCAATGGTTCCGAAATGACTTCCGCTAGTTCCTTCAACACTCTTGGGTCTAGTTGATCTGGCCCTGAAAGGGGACTTGAACTCATTTAGAGCAGCCAGGTATTCCTGGACGACTTGTTTCCCAATTTGGGGTTGGATGTCCTCTAATCCCTCATCCACTTCATCTTGCTGAGGTTGAACTTTAGCCGCCATGGCTCAATCCTATGGGGTGCTGGGTGTTGTAGTTTTACAAGGTCTTTGTCCTCCTCTGCAAGAAAGTGTTGGTGCCTCACCAAAGCTAATGTAGTGTCAAACTGCATTAATTCTTCAGTGCGGATGGACATGAAGATATTGTTTGTAAGTCTTTGTGTAGATGATTCTAGGGCCCAGAATGGATGGTGCAACAGGTGTGACAGATTAGCCATTTCATTTGTGTTCAGCATCTCAGCAACCAAGTCTTGTGGTTTTGTAGGGCTATCTTCCTATGAACTGGACTCATACATTCACCCTGCCTATAAAGTCCACCATTGCTTTCACAAAATAGCGGGTCCTGACGGTCACCACAAAGGTAACACAAAAACGGGCATGTAGCATGACCTCGTTCCTTTCTCAGCCCTGCAGATATTAACAACAGCAATCCTCTCCACAGACGGCCTCTGAGTAAAGACACAAGCTGCACATTCTCACTCAACCACAATAATATAAAATCCAATTTACACTTTGCTTACGGAGCCAGAACATTTCATTGCTTTTCCTGCCAATGTTTTTTCTTTCTTTCATCATTATTGCTTTGTGCAAATGCTGCTTTGGGTGAACATGAGGTTAAAATGCTGTTGATCTAACAAATCTAGGTTGCCCGTTTGCTCTATTATTACTGATTTTCGTCCGCAGTTAAGCTGCCATTTATGTAATATATGGTATTTAGCCCACGTTGTGCTCTTTGCTTCCAGTTCAAAGAAAGAAGGCTTCCTTTTCCCTTGATGGTCTTTGAACAGAGCTTCAGTGAGGATTGCTTTATGTGTGTCTCTCTGAATGATCAGGCATTGAACTTATTGGCCTCTGCAGTCCTTTCTAACTCTTGGATTCTTTTGTTTTCTAATAACACAAACCAATGTATTCAGATGACATGAGAAGAGATTTTTGCCTAAACACTGACTGAGCTGTCGAAGGCTTTCATGGCCAGAATCAATGGGTTTCTGTGAGTTTTCCGGGCTGTATGACCATATTCCAGAATTTGTGGGGTCTGTTGGAAACTAAGTAAATACACAGAAAAGCCACTGAAATCTACAAGCATGTGGACAATTTCAACAGAAAGGAGAAAACCATGAAAATGAACAAAATCAGGCTGCAATGTTTTAAAAAACTCTAAAATCAAGACAGTAAATAAAGAGGAACACTAAAAAAGCAGGGGAACTCCAGACAAAAATCAATCATAGCCAGCTAGCACTTCCTAACAAAGGATCTCCCCAGGCAGCAACTAGTCAGGCTTTGAAGCTGCAAGGCCATTCATTAAATGCTAATCATTAAATTCCAGACAAGAGCTGATCAGGGCCAGCTAATACCTCCCAACAAAGGATTCCCCCAGGCAGCAAACAGCCAGGCCTTGAAATTACAGGCTATTAAATGCTAATCAAGGTGACCAATTGCAACATTCACACTTGCCTCAAGCAGACAAGAGTTCTTTCTCCCACCCTGGACATCATTCCAAAGATATATCAACCTCACTTGCCTAGTTTCCAACAGACCTCGCAATCTCGGAGGATGCCTGCCATAGATGTGGGCGAAATGTCAGGAGAGAATGCTTCTGAAACATGGCCATACAGCCTGGAAAACTCACAACAACCCTGTGATTCCGGCCATGAAAGCCTTCGACAATACATAGATGCCTCAAGCCTTTCTGAATCGAACAAATTTTGAAGATTTATTCACCTCCCAAAAAAGGATCCTCCAGCATCAACCAGCCAGGCTTTGAAGCTGTAAGGCTGTTCAATGCTACCAGTATTAAAATACTCTAAAATCAGGACAATAAAAAAAGAGGAACACTCAGAAACCAGGGGAATTCCAGACAAGAGCTGATCAGGGCCAGCTAACACCTCCCAACAAAGGATTCCCCCACGCAGCAAACAGCCAGGCCTTGAAACTGCAGGCTATTAAATGCTAATCAAGGTTGCAAATGGCAACATTCACACGTTCCTCAAGCAGGCAAGAGTTCTTTCTCCCACCCTGGACATTTCACAGATACATAAACCTCACTTACTTAGTTTCCAACAAATCCCTCAACCTCTGAGGATGCATGCCATAGATGTTGGTGAAATGTCAGGAGAGAATGCTTCTGGAGCATGGCCATACAGTCTGGAAAACTCACAGCAATCCACTGACTGAGCTGTTCAAGGTTGTGATAAATTGGAAGCTGGTAGATTTCCACCTCTCAAAGACTTTTCAACAGGGATCGGATGGGCATCTTTCGGGTTGCTTTTCTTGTGCATTCCCGCATGGCACAAGGTTGGACTGGATGGCCCCTAGTAGCCCCTTCCAACTTCCCAAAACCTTCAATCATTAAACTATAGATTTCCCTCCCACAAGATGTAGCAATGCCAACCAACTTGATACTAAACATAGTGGCCATGTGTTACTTCTGTGCTGAAGACAGCATCCTTCTTAGCATTGCATGCTGCAAAAAACAAGGGCCAATCCTCAGCCCGAGGAACTTACAGCAACCCATTGTTATAGGCACTGCACCCAGTGTGCTAGTCACCACTGGGACCACCTTTACTGGTTTGTGACACAGTCTTTGCACTTGGATCTTCAAATCCTTATATTGTGTCATCTTTTCCAGTTGTTTCTCTTCAATCCTGCTGCCGCTTGGGATTGCAACATCAAAAATCCATACTTTGTTTTTTAACACAATTGTTGTTGTTGTTACTATCGATGAACCAGCAAGGTCTGAGATTGATCCAATTTGGCTCTTCTTAAAAGAGAAATCACATCTAAAAAACCAACTGGCTCAAGCAATCTCTCTTCGGCAACTATGATGGTGTTTCCACTTTAGTTCCCCGCCCCCAAATTAGTAGAATTTACTCTCTATTTAGTATGATGAAAGATTAGGAACTGCAGTGATGGTTGATGCACTGAGATTGATCCAGTGTGGCTTTTCTTAAAAGCAAAATGACACGCAAGAGACAAACCAGCCCAGGTCCCTTTGACAACTGAATCGGTGTTTGTAATAAACGTCAGGAGAGAATGCTTCTAGAACATGGCCATATAACCAAAAAACTTACAACAACCCAGCAATTCCAGCCATGAAAGCCTTCGACAATACATTGAACAATATATTGTTGAAGGCTTTCATGGCCAGAATCACTGGGTTGTTGTAGGTTTTTTCGGGCTATATGGCCATGTTCTGAGGCATTCTCTCCTGACGTTTCACCTGCATCTATGGCAAGCATCCTCAGAGGTAGTGAGGATGCTTGCCACAGATGCAGGCAAAACATCAGGAGAGAATGCCTCTAGAACATGGCCATATAGAACGAAAAAACCTACAACAACCCAATACATTGAACATCTCTACGGGGAGAAACTGTTCCAAGACACACGAAAATTGGAACACAACTTCTGAGGATGCTTGCCATAGATGCAGGCAAAATGTCAGGAGAGAATGCTTCTGGAGCATGGCCATATAGCCCGAAAAACCTATACAACCCAGTGATTCCAACCATGAAAACCTTCGACAATACATTGAACATCTCTACAGGAAGAAACTGTTCCAAGACACACAAAAATTGGAACACAACCTCTGAGGATGCATGTCATAGATGCAGGCGAAACATCAGGAGAGAATGCTTCTAGGGCATGGCCATATAGCCTGAAAAACCTACAACAACCCAGTGATTCCAGCCATGAAAGCCTTCGACAATACGGTGTTTGGTTAAGTAGAATTTACTCCAGAACTGTGGTGACAGTTATGGCGAAGAGGATAACCCATAAAGGTTACTTACTTCAGTGGTTCAGGAGCTTGGAGAGATCTAGCGAAGAGGAATGCATCTCTACAATCTGCAAAGACTTCTGCTCAGCCTTTGTTTGCTGTCTTCAGGACCGAAGAATGGGCCCGGTCTGCTTTCTCCAATGGTTGCTGGCACTTAGTTGTGCCTGTTCTCTGGAGAAGGTGTGAGTAACTTCTGAGCTGAGGTGGTTTTGAGGAGTGCAACTGAATCTGTTTCCTGCCCACATTGTGCAACTGCTTTTTCAAAAGCAAAAACAGCCTGCCAGGTGGATGGGAAGAGAAAGGAGCTTCATGGCCGGCATATTAAAAACGTCTAACACAGGCACGTGAAAACTTGGGCCCTCCAGGTGTTTTGGACTTCAACTCCCACAATTCCTAACAGCCGGTAGGCTGTTAGGAATTGTGGGAGTTGGAGTCCAAAACACCTGGAGAGCCCAAGTTTGCACATACCTGACTTTAATTATTGTATGATTGTCTTGGCAGATCTGCATGTTTTGAGTTATGGTTGTTGTCTTAGATTTCACTGTAGAAGTAGTTTTCATTTTTTTATATTATGATAATTTGCCCTTTTTATGGAGGATTTGTGATTTCTATTTATTTCCCTTTCTTTCTGCATATTTTTTTTAAAAAAGAGAAATTTAATCTTTTGCAGTTGCAAAACAACACTTTCATGATGCAATTCTTGCTTTGAGCTTCCGGTGGTGCAGTGGGTTAAGCCCCTGTGCTGGCAGGATTGGAGACCGACAGGTCGGAGGTTCGAATCCGGGGAGAGCACGGATGAGCTCCCTCTGTCAGCTCCAGCTTCCCATGCGGGGACATGAGAGAAGCCTCCCACCAGGATGGTAAAACATCAAAACATCCGGGCGTCCCCTGGGCAATGTCCTTGCACACGGCCAATTCTCTCACACCAGAAGCAACTTGCAGTTTCTCAAGTTGCTCCTGACATGACAAAATAAAAACTTGCTTTGTTTGACCTGAGCAATTTTTTTCCTGGATGCAAAATATTCCAGCCTAGTTTTTGATCTTTGCTTGTCAGAGGAACAGAGAATGGATGGGCAGAGCATCTTCAGGACTCTGGGATTATTTTGGGGAACGTTTGGGATTATTTTGGGGAAAGTTTTGCGACTGCATGTGCTGGTATGGCTGTACCAGGAGTTCCAACTTAATTTCTTTCTATTGAGTGTTTGCATGTATTCCAAAGTTCCATGCATTTTGCAATAAGGTGGCTTCCCTTGGTTTGCAATTATAGGGCCAATGACCCATCAATCATTGTTAAGTTTTGGTTCCGCCCCTTTCCCCAGGACTCTGGGAGGAGAGGGAGTCATTTTAGGTCAGTCTTGCATTGGAAAGCTTAGCTACAGGATGTGGATTAGCTCCACCTGTAGAGAAGCTTCTCACAGCATCCGGGGGAAACAGCATCCGGGGGAAATGCTGGGGGGAAACAGTTCCAAAGGACTCCAGCTGGAGAATCTACAAAGCCTTGACTGGTAGGTCTACTCGGGACCCAAGAAGCAGTTTGGAGCCGGGAGTAGAGCCCACACCAGCAAAGTTTAGAAAGTAGATTGCCCAAGGAGGGGTTAAAAAGGGTTTTCCTCTTAAAGAAAAGAAACAGTTCACAAAGCCAGTTGCCTTTCCGTTGTGGACAAGATTAAGAAAGCCACCATTTGATTCAAAGCCTTCAAGCATTTGTTTAATTTGCTGAAGACCTAAACAATAATAAAGTTTTAAGTTTCTAAAGACGCTGTATAGGAAAATCCTTAGGGGCTCTCACTCGAGGCATCCCGGCTTCCCATTGAGCACAAAGAGTACATCCTGTTCAAAAGCCAACTGCTAGAGGCCCAGCGCGTGACAGCACACTGCAGCCTACACTGCCAGCTTTAGCACAGCAGGTTAATCAATAGCTCCAGCTGCAGCAAATCTTGCCCATCTTCGGTTGGCAAGGAAATATTGCCAACTGAAAGGTTGACAGTTCGAAGCCGGGTCAGGGTGAGCTCCTGACCTATAGCCCAGCTCATCCTGCTCGCCCACCCACCTAGCAGAATGAAAACAGCAATGTGAGTAGATGAATAGGGACCGCATTAAACGGGGAGGTATTTTAGGTATGGCGTTTTGGAAGAACAAAGAAAGCTCTTCGGCAAGGAGATGGAGCAACAGTATCCCCTTGTGGCCAGAACCAAGCACAGCCTCCAAAGATGCCGAATGATGTGAAAAATCCTAAATATACCTCTATCAGTTTCTGTCTTGTCATTATATATAAGCATTGAATGTTTGCTGTATATGTGTTCTGTGATCCGCCCTGAATCCCCTTCGGGGTGAGAAGGGCAGAATAAAAGTCCTGCAAACAAACAAACAAACACATACATACATACATACATACACACATACACCAAGATTTCTTAAACCTTTTCCACTTGTGATCCCTTTTGAACGGATAATTTTTTACCTGGCCCCAGGTATAAAAGATAGGTATAATAATCACATTTACTGATAAAGCAGTATTTGTAAGGCTTGCAAATCCAGCCTGATTTTCCTTTTTATGGAGTACAAGTGAAGCATTTCCTGCAGAATCCACTATAAACACCGTAAGTTGTTGCCAATTCATATAAATGTCTACAAGACCTACTAGGTGACACAACTTTTCCTGTTGATTAAACATTATGTTTTAGCTTATTGTACTGTATATATTATAATTTAATATGTTGTTTCTCCCCACATCAATCCATGGGGAAAGATACATAAGAAATCATAATGATCATAACACCACCACTGGCACCACACAACTTCCACATTCATAGCAAGATGCTTCAGGCACAACGTATTAGGTCTATTTTTCAAAACCCAATCCTATGTATGTTTGGAAATAGAAACATGACACTTAAACAGTGTTCTGGAAATCACAGGCTTCTCCCTCAACCAAAATTTTCCTCTTTCCTTTCCCACTCACTGCTCCATATTCTTGGAACAACCTCCATGAAAACCTGCAGATTGCCCCTTCCTTACTTGCAAATCTCAATTAAAACTTTTCTCATTTTCCAGAACTTTCAGAATTTTAGCTTCATATTGTTACAGAATTATGAATCTTTTGGTAACATGTATTTGTTGGAATATATATATATATCTATGCACACTAGCCATCCCGTCACACGTTGCTGTGGCTCAGTCTATGTATATGTGTTTTGTGTGTTTATATATGTATGTGTATGTATGTGGTTTTGCGCTTGCGTTTTAATGTATTTTTAAATATTTTTTTTGCTTTTTAAGTCTCTTCTGCTCTGTTTTTCAGTGTTTTTGTTGGCCTGATAGGTGTATTGTGTTCAAATTTGCTGTCAATTCGTCCAGTATTTTTTGAGTTATGTTAATCTCACAAACAAACATTATACACACACACTAGCCATCCCTTGCCATGTGTCGCTGTGGCCCAGTCTGTGTATGTTTTGTGTGTGTATATGTGTTTGCATACATACATACATACATACATACATACATACAAATATGTTGTTTTGTGCATGCATTGTAATTTTTGTTTTTTGCCTTTTTAACTCCCCCCGCTGTGTTTTTCAGTGTTTTTATGAGTGATGGTCCCTTATTGGCCTGATACGTCTATTGTGTCCTAATTTGGTGTCAATTCGCCCAGCGGTTTTTGAGTTATGTTAATCCCACAAACAAACATTACATTTGAGAAACTGCAAATCGTTTATGGTGACAGGACACTGCCCAGGGGATGCCCATAAGTTTTACAATCCTGTGGGAAGCTTCTCTCATGCCCTCACATGGGAAGCTGGAGCTGACAGATGGGAGCTCACCCTGCACCCCAAAATCAAACCGCCAACCTTTCAGTTAGCATGGCTTGATATGTGTATTGTGTCCAAATTTGTTGTCAATTCGCCCAGTGGTTTTTGAGTTATGCTAATCCCACAAACAAAAATTACATTTGAGAAACTGCAAGTCGCTTATGGTGACAGGACACTGCCCAGGGGATGCCCATAAGTTTTACAACTTGTGGGAAGCTTCTCTCATGCCCCCACATGGGAAGCTGGAGCTGACAGGCGGAAGCTCATCCTGCACCCCAAAAACAAACCGCCAACCTTTCAGTTAGCAGTCCTGCCATCACAAGGGTTAACCCATTGATCCACTGTGAGATCCAGCTTTATATTATACCCCACTATCTTTTTGTATACCTGTTTGGATAATATGTGTCACAATCTGTGTATTTGCATCCTTTCTTCCCTCTGTGTGTTTACGCCTTTGAGAGGGTTGGCTGCTGTTGACGCTATTTTATTTGTAAAGTGCCATGTGCACTGTTGGGAGTGTGTGTCTGTGTGAAACCAAATTACGCAAACCGAGCAGCAAAGGAAAAGAGATGGATGCACAAAGGCCAAACTTCATAATACCTAGCAAAACCTGAGCTTCGCAAAGTGTGCCACCAGAGATGGAAACACAAAGACGCTAAGCATCAAATTTTATTGTTCTTTTATCTAAAACTTCAAGGTTGCAGACTGAAAGGAAACATATACAGGAAGCGACACAGATATACTTTCCCTGCAAGGAAAATAAAACATCGCTGTTCTCCCTTCGCCTCCTCCGACCCGAGGCAACGCATACAGATCTGGCATCAGCAGGCTTTGCATTGTTCCTGAGATCAAACCTTGTCCTTTCTCTGTTGCAACTATAAGCAGCCGTATGGGAAGCACAGTCAACCCTCCACCTTTGCTGGTTTTAGGGGCACAAGGCCCCCATGAAAACGACAAATGGTAAATAAAGGGACTATTGGGTTGTTGTAGGTTTTTTCGGGCTATACGGCCATGTTCTAGAGGCATTCTCTCCTGACGTTTCACCTGCATCTGTGGCAAGCATCCTCAGAGGTATGGCAAGCATCCTCACTACCTCTGAGGATGCTTGCCATAGATGCAGGCAAAACGTCAGGAGAGAATGCCTCTAGAACATGACCCTATAGCCCGAAAAAACCAACACCACAGTGATTCCAACCATGAAAAGTCTTCGACAATACAAAGGGACTATTTTCTAGGTTCTTGTGGGTTTTTTCGGGCTATAGGGCCATGTTCTAGACTATTTTCTCTGGGAATTTTTGGGTCTTCCAAGATGACCACAGAATTGCATTACAGAAGGCATGGGCAAACTTTGACCTTCCAGGTGTTTTGGACTTCAACTCCCACAACTCCAAACTGCCTACCAGCTTAAAATGTAACGTTGAGTGTCACATATATTATTAGAGGGTCTGACAAGCCTTCAACCATGTTTAGACTCTCTAATATATATATATATGAGGACCTTTAGATCCTTTATTAGCACTGCTGTTTTATCTACAGAAATTGTTGTATTTTATTGCTATTACCAGGGGGGTACTGTGAATTTATGATGTTGTGTTGACTGTTTATTGTCTATGTTTTGTTTTGCATATCACACCTTTGAGTGTTCTGTGTCCTTCTGGGAGATGGTGGTGGGATAGAAATAAAAGTCTATTATTATCATTATTAGCTGTACCCACCACACGTCCCTCCCTTTTTCTTGCTTTCTCTCCTTCCTTCCTTCCTTCTTTCCTTTTCTTTCTTTCTCTCCTTCCTTCCTTCTCTTCCTTCCTTCCTTTCCCTTTCTTTCTTTCTTTTTCTTTCTTTCTCTCCTTCCTTTCTTCTCTTCCTCTTCCCTTCCTCCCCCCTTTTCTTTCCCTTCCTCTTTCCCCCATCTTCCTTCTCTACCTATTCTTGGACTGCAGCTCCCAACAGTCAGTCTATCTATCTATCTATCTATCTATCTATCTATCTATCTATCTATCTATCTATCTACGTACCTATCGATCTTGATCTAATCTATCTATTTGGAGGATTTCTGGGAGTTGCAGTCCAGGAACAGGAAATTGGAAATATGCAGGGATTGAGATGCTCTCAAAGAAATCCAAGGAGAAGAAAGCCTGCATCTTGGAAGCAGTGCATTTGCGTCATCCTCCTCTCCTTGGAGCTGTGTCCGGAAGAGAGTGTGGATATGATATTGTGTTTTCTTTGCTGAGGGAGTCGTTCTTGCACATGCGCTCTTATTTTGAGGAAGACCACTACCTTCAAGCCAGAGCTTTGGGATTTCAGGATGGTTTCAAAAACATGGCTCGTTGTGGGTATTGAGGAAACTCGGAATTCGTATCACTCAGAAACTGGGACAATTGTGATTCCAATAGCGCTTTGTGCCATTCATTCACAAGGTCAGTGATATCTAGACCAAAAAAAAAAAGAACCAAAGCACATCACCAACAAGAACAGAACGAACCCTGATGATGATGCTGAACTTCTTTCTATATATCAGGCATGGGCAAACTTGGGCCCTCCAGGTGTTTTGGACTTCAACTCCCACAATTCCTAACAGCCGGAATTGTGGGAGTTGAAGTCCAAAACACTTGGAGGGCCCAAGTTTGCCCATGCCTGGAATATCTACCGCCACACAACTATGGAAGAACTGTGCCAGAGACAAAAGGCTGTGCTAGAATTCCCAGGTCCAAGGAAGCTTCTCTGCCTCTCGGTGGCATCTCCTGGTCACTCCACGTAAAGTCCACAATCCATAGGTCCACCTTTACACACCCAACCAACTTCTGAGGTTGACCCCAAAAAGAGGGGCTGGTTAAAAGAAAAGGGTTTGGTCCACCCAGAAACAGCACGCAGCCATTAAACGGGTCTCATGTAAGGAAGGCTAAAATTCGGTCATTTTCTTGTGTGTGTCGGCCTTCTTCTGCTCCCGTTGGAGAGTGGCTTCTTGGGCCCGGAGTTCGCCCAATTTCCGGTGGGCCCCGGCCATCTTCTCTTCCAGCTGAGCCGTAGCAATGCTGTGCCTGGAAGCCAACATTATAAAATGTCAGAAGGAAAGGGAAGGAGTTGATCTAAACCAGGAAGCTTCATATCCCACTTCCACCCACATCAGTCTGAAAAAAAATGCACCACAAAATGTCAAATTCTGTCCTTAGAGGGGGGGAAAAAAAGACAGACGGCTAAACACTTCCAAGATGTAAAGGTCTTTTCTTACACAAGCCCTGCGCTGCTCTATTAATTCATTCCAAGCATGGCTTTGCTTCTATCACTCTCCTTAAAGCAGTGTTTCTCAACCTGGGGGTCGGGACCCCTGTGGGGGTTGCAAGGGGGTGTCAGAGGGGTCATAGAATCATAGAATTATAGAGTTGGGAGAGACCTCATGGGTCATCCAGTCCAACCCCATTCTGCCAAGAAGCAGGAATATTGCATTAAAAGCACCCCTGACAGATGGCCATCCAGCCTGTTTAAAAGCCTCCAAAGAAGGAGCCTCCACCACACTCTGGGGCAGAGAGTTCCACTGCTGAACATCTCTCACAGTCAGGAAGTTCTTCCTCATGTTCAGATGGAATCTCCTTTCTTGTAGTTTGAAGCCATTGTTCCACGTCCTAGTCTCCAGGGAAGCAGAAAACAAGTTTGCTCCCTCCTCCCTGTGGCTTTCTCTCACATATTTATACATGGCTTATCATGTCTCCTCTCAGCCTTCTCTTCTTCAGTCTAAACATGCCCAGCTCTTCAAGCTGCTCTTCATAGGGCTTGTTCTCCAGACCCTTGATCATTTTAGTTGCCCTCCTCTGGACACATTCCAGTTTCCTCTGGACACATTCCATTTTAGTCGCCCTCCTCTGGACACATTCCAGACACATCGCCAAAGACCATCAGTAAATATAGTATTTTCTCTTGGTCATAAGGGTTCTGTGTTGGAATTTTGGTCCAATTCTATCGTTGTTGTGGTTCAGAATGTTATTTCATTGCAGGTGAACTATAAATCCCAGCAACTACAACTCCTAAATGTTAAGATCTATTTTCCTCAAACTCCTCCAGTGTTAACATTTGGGCCTATTGAGTATTCGTGCCAAGTTTGGTCCAGATCCATCATTGTTTGAGTCCACAGCGCTCTCTGAATGTAGGTGAACTACAACTCCAAAACTCAAGGTCAATGTCCACCAGATCCTCCCAGTATTTTCTCTTGGTCATGGGAGTTTTGTGTGCCAAGTTTGGTTCAATTTCATCATTGGTGGTGTTCAGAATGCTCTTTGATTGTAGATGAACTATAAATCCCAGCGACTACAACTTCCAAATGACAAAATCATAATTTTTTGAGTGATGGTCACTCCTTGTGTTGTGAGACATTTTGTTGCCAAATTTGGTGTGATTTCGTTCAATGGTTCTTTTGTTTTTAAGGTACTCATTATGCACATAGCATATATATATATATATATATAGATAATAATTATTATAATTATAATTATTATTATTATGGGTCTGCACCCCATGTGCTGCCAGTAAGTTTCCACAGGGGATAATTCAAGGTCAATGTCCACCAGATCCTCCCAGTATTTTATCTTGGTCATGGGAGTTTTGTGAGCCAAGTTTGGTTCAATTTCATCATTGGTGGTGTTCAGAATGCTCTTTGATTGTTGGTGAACTATGAATCCCAGCCACTACAGCTCCCAAATGACAAAATCAATCCCCTCCCAACCCCACTAGTATTCAAATTTGGGCATATTGGGTATTTGGGATTTGAAAATACATCCTGCATATCAGATATTTACATTACAATTCATAACAGTAGCAAAATTACAGTTATGAAGTAACAATGAAAATAATGTTATGGTTGGGGGCCACCACAACATGAGGAACTGTACTAAGGGGTCGCGGCATTAGGAAGGTTGAGAAACACTGCGAAAACCCCTTTTTGGCAAGGAACAGAACAGAGGAAGATGGAAAAAAGGACAACAAGTGAGCTGCGGTGTCAGCACTGTGAAAAATCTGCAAATGAACTTTCAGATGATTGCAAAGGTTGCACGGTGTTGCTTTCAGCAAAATCCAGGAGCCGAAGAATCTTCTATAACCAAAGCTTCAACACAGGAAGCTGGGTTTTGCAAAGCGAGACCGGCGCTGGTATCCGGGAGCCAATTCTTCCAGCCCCAAAGAAGCCAGAAGGGACAAAAATGTTCTGGCTTCATCTGCCTAGATCGGTGGTTCTCAACCTGTGGGTCCCCAGATGTTTTGGCCTTCAACTCCCAGGAATCCTAACAGTTGGTAAACTGGCTGGGATTTCTGGGAGTTGTAGGATCCACAGGCTGAGAACCACTGCAGTCTAGGTTTATATTCAGGATTGGGTAAATCCTCAGGGACTGGAAATGTATTTTAGCTTTAGTTTGACTCCGCCTTGCATACAGGATGCTGAAATACATCAATTTTATTTTTTGCAATTCCTCTCAAAATGGCAACAGGAAATTATGTTATTACTGTCACCATTTTGAGAAAGCCTGTAGAGGAAAATAAGAGGCTTGCAGGCCTTATATGAGGTATATATACTAACCAGAGGGGCTAAGGGCATGCATGCATGTTTTTGAGGTTAATTTAGTTCTGTTGCTTTGCTTTGCATTTAAATTTTACGTTCTCTGGCTTTCCTGAATATTTCAAAAAGGCAGTATGGCTGGGTTTTAGTGATGTGCCAATGCATTTAAATGTAACCAATTATATTAAAGAAGGGTTGCATTTTAAATAAAGTGATTAAGAGCTTTAGGAAAAGCAGATATCTTTGTGCCTACTGCCTGGAATATATGTATCTATTTGTTGACATTCAGACGCACACATAACACTGAGGACTGAATTCCTGTGAAGGAAATCCAAGTGAGATTTATCCAATTAATAAAGATTCTCATTAGGGCAAAAACATTAGTACTGAAGCAAGAAGCATATCTTCTTTGTTTTTAGATATTGCTTGTTGCAATTAATGAATATATTAGCTAGGAAGTTACAGTGGATCCTTGATATCCAACGAGGTTTGATTCCATGATCTCTTGTGGATACCAAAATCGGTGGTTGCTTGAGTCCTGTTATTTGCAGTGGTATAGTAAAATGGTTTGATTCTCTTATAGGTAAAGGTAAAGGTTTTCCCCTGGCATTAAGTCCAGTCGTATCCGACTCTGGGGGTTGGTGCTCATCTCCATTTCTAAGCCGAAGAGCCAGCGTTGTCCATAGACACCTCCAAGGTCATGTGGCCACCATGAGGTACTGAGGTGCTTGTGAGGATATTTTCACACATCCTGGAGATTTTATTACATACACCAGGCATGGGCAAACTTTGGCCGTCCAGGTGTTTTGGACTTCTACTCCTAGAAATCTCAGCCATCTTACCAGCTGTTAGGAATTGTGGGAGCTGAAGTCCAAAATACCTGGAGAGTCAAAGTTTGCCCATGTCTGATATACACCCTATCCTGGACTATTTATTTATTTCCAGGGACAGGAAGTTTAGCACAGCTGGTAAATCATCAGCAATTATAAGATATATCAACCAAAAGGTTGCAATCTATCGCCCTGTCTCTCTACAAGTTCTCACTCGCAAATAATTCTGCTCCTTTATTTCACCCTGAGTTTTTAAATCATTTTATGTACATGCAGCCCACTCACTGTTATTATGTTTGGTTTACTGTTTTTTAAAAATATTGTTTATTGTATTCATATGTTTTGTACTTTATTGCGATGTTGTTTATTTTATTGTAACTTGTATCTTATTTTATTGTAATTTGTTGTATTGGACACAATACACCTATCAGGCCAACGAGTGACCATCACTCATAAAAACACTGAAAAACACAGCAGAAGAGACTTAAAAGGCCATCATATATATCCTATATATATAGGATATATATCCTATATATATATATAGGAGCCCCCGGTGGCATAGTGGGTTAAAGCACTGAGCTGCTGAGCTTGTTGATTGAAAGGTCACAGGTTCAAATTCCGGGGAGCGGCGTGAGCTTCCACTGTCAGCCCTAGCTTCTGCCAACCTAGCAGTTCGAAAACATGCAAATGTGAGTAGATCAATAGTTACTGCTTCGGCAGGCACTCTATGCAGTTATTATTTATTTATTTATTTACTTAAACTCTTTCTTTTCTATAAATTTTATCTACCCCAGTCTTCATACCTCTAAATCATTTTACTACACATATATTATACTATATATTTCTCATCTACTACTTCCCTACTCATCCTCTTGCTCTTCCTTCTACTTCCTCTCTCATACATACTCTCTTACCCTTTCATAACCTTTCCACACCACACCCACTTACTCTCTATTCTAGCTCTACAACTAACACCTACATATTTACACACCTACATCACACACACCAACATCTTGATCCTACACATTTAACTACATATATCACCACATTCCACCCTCCTCTTTCCTTCCACCACAACTTCATTTACTCGTGCCTTTCCTCCACACCTCCAATCCCCAAACCTCCATCCTTCTCCCAGAACGACTTTCGACCCCCT